GGTGTTGGCCGTTGCCTTTGCAAGTCTGAGGTTGTTGGGTGCTTTTACCTGCAGCGTAGTCTGCTCCGGTATCACAGCCTGTTTGCATTTGCAGACCGATGAGTGTGAATGTGAAGCCTTGGAAAGCTTTCAACGACGCAGGTCACTGGTTGCTGGTTTCAACTATTTTTTTTTGCTAGCCCTGTTTTGGGATGGCTGCCACGACTGGTTTTCTTGTTTTTTGATGATTTTAGTAACGCACAAAACAGGTCTTTTTTCGTAGTGAAGATGGCATACTGGTGCAATCGGCTGGCTTTCTACCTCTACTGTGTCTCTATGCCCTTGATGGGCCCGGTCTACAATCCTTCCCCCCCTCCAGCCATCCCGGGTTTAAAGCACGTGGCGCTCGGATACCACATGCTGATCGTTGGGGGCATGGCAGCAATTCTGGACATATTCTTTGCAGTCAGAGAGTGCGTCATGAAACCAACAGTTCCGGCGGATGATGATGAAGAGCTGAGCGAGCTTGATGTGGAGGAGGTAAATCAGAGCATGGATTCGATGGGATCCTTGGAAATTCAGAATGGAAAACCGCAATTTTCAACTAGAAATGATTTATATGATTTGATAGCCGGTTTTCAATTATCTACACGGTACATCATACAACTTTGAACGGCCTCAAGATGTCTCAAAAGTTTATTGTGAGTTTCTTCTTATGTATGTTCATCTTTTGTTCATTCAGGACTTTGACTCGATTTGATGTTGGATTTGAAAGAGATCCTGAAGTTGTCACACATGTTGGCATTCATTCTGATTGTCCAATTGGTCGATCTTGTCCATGGCCTGTTTTCTGATGGCTTCATGGAGGACAAAAATCTCCGCCAAGCCCCCATGGTTTTCCCCATTCCCCTGCTGGAACTCCACTCATTGGCGCATGGGCCATAGGTATCCATAGGTCCAACTTAGGTTGTATGGTTACGGAGGCTCCTTTTGCATACGTGGCACCTTGTTAGTTGTTCTCACCAGGGTTTGGTCAGGAAATCGGGCCGTACTGATGGTTGGTTTCATCCAGCATGCTAGCGCTCGCTTCATCGGGTTGCAGCACGCTCCCGATGGACACGAATACGAGCTTTACCTGAACCATGTGTTTCCCCTGATGGTTTCTGGGTCTTGGATTTGTGAACACCATTAGTAACACCGATATATCCGGATGTGAGGCCAACCAATAAATGGGGTGGAGGTGGGATGATATATATTATATATATATATAGACAATATCATATTATGTATATGTAGATATCAGAAGATGGAAGCGATTTCAGCATGGGTTTGCTGATTATTAAAAGGTCCTCAAGTGCTTGGGTCGTTCTCTGTTTCGAGCTGCAAAAAACAACGGCCAGGTTTCTTTGGGCTGCGTGTGCTTGCAAGCAGTGGTCTATATCACCTTTATGAGCACCACTCAACTCCGAACAGGCCCTGTGTCCAGATCGACCACGCGCTGCCTTTTCGCGTTGTTCCGAATCAGTCACTTGGTTTTTCTGTTCAGCCCACCATAGGCCACTTTCATAATAATAGTAAATAACGGTATACTGTTATATAATTAATATTACAAGGGAATGAATGAACACACTTAATCATACTATATATAATTAATAATAACCGTAACACAAATAGAATATATAAATAAATAGATAAATATTATATATATATATATGTAACAGGTTTATATAATTATGAATGATAAGCATGGCCTATTCCAACGGGTCATTGTTTCAGGTGATTTCCTCTTCAAACTCGGTGTCTTCGTGGTCTTGTCTGGCGCCAGCCTAACGGGCTGGGGCTGCTCCTGCCCCTGCTGCGCTGGTGCTGACTATGGCACCGCCGTTGGACCCTGCGCTGCGTCGCTGGTGCCGGATGGAGCCTGCTACACGCGGGTGGCATATGTGCCCATGACTTGTTGCCGCCACAGCTTTGGTTCTGCTTTTCCTTTCATGTTCTATTGTGTTCTATTCATTGTCTATTTGCAAACTTTTTTTTGGGGGGGACAAGTCTATGCTTATCTCATTTGATCTCCGTATATCTTATTGTTGTAATCGCATCTCGGACACTTATACTTCATGGTTGCAAAATGTTGAACAAGTATTACAAGTATATCTTGAAATAATGGAATATGATACTGATCATATAAACACATATTCACACACTAGACAAGAATGGATCATTACATGATCCGGCAGGAACTGAATCCTGAAACATGCAAACCAGCCTAGATCGTTAGAAAGGTTTCGGATGCATAAACTACAGATTGTGGCAACCGTGAAGGAATAAAATCATGGTGGTTGGGGTTCTAAGCTTGGCCCCTTGCTATTCCGAAAAATCCGAACTGCAGGTACGTCACCAGGCGTCCCTGGTGATATCCTAGGATCATATGAGGAGCTTCGTTGGATGGAGCCTCATATGTCCTCTCCATCCCCCTGCATTGTAATTAGAGTTAGAAAGGGGGAGGACAAAGGAAGAAAAAAAGAGAGAAGTTTTACATCTATTTAGATGTTACACACACACACACCCGGCCGGAGCCGGGTCAACGCTGAAAGGCAAGAGGAAGAAAAAAGCGGAAACACGACGGGCAGACGGCCAAAACAGCGCAGGGGGGGGAGGGGAACAGACGGACCTCCAGAACCAACCTACACGGCGAAACGGACCTGACAAAAACAGCGCACACACCTAAACCCAACAACACGTTACGGAGAGGCACGCGGGGAAAGATTAGGGACCAATGGGGAACTAGTTGATGCCAGACAAAACCAAAACAATTAATTAAAAAACAGGACCCAGTTCCTAGACCTACTGTTCGTGCAATTGTGCCACAACAGGCCCGTGTTCCAGTCAGCCACAAGGGCATAAAACGGCTTTCAAGTTCCATCGAATTAGATGCACAAAATGTTTAACCTCACCAGACAACCATCAAAAAGAAGAATACCACACCTGCAAGACGTGGGCCTGCCTGATTCATATGTCATGACTTGATGCACTTTCGCTGCAAACGTTGCTGCAAGAAACGGAGGTTTCTGAATGTTCAGTATGGCTTCACTTGACAGAGTGCAAAACACTAGGATCCCTGGGACCACAGGAGCCGCGGGACGTCTTCAAAGGTGCAAAACCGCAAGGCCAACTGTTGCGATTTACTTAGATGAATTACCAAATTAAAATGTGTGAATTCAGAATTCAAGACTGTCGACACTCACCCTGAAAAGGGTTGCCTCAAATGGCTCCATGGCACCATGTCGGAGCCACCATGGAAATCACACTAGACAAGAATGGATCATTATATGATCCGGCAGGAACTGAATCCTGAAACATGCAAACCAGCCTAGATCGTTAGAAAGGTTTCGGATGCATAAACTACAGATTGTGGCAACCGTGAAGGAATAAAATCATGGTGGTTGGGGTTCTAAGCTTGGCCCCTTGCTATTCCGAAAAATCCGAACTGCAGGTACGTCACCAGGCGTCCCTGGTGATATCCTAGGATCATATGAGGAGCTTCGTTGGATGGAGCCTCATATGTCCTCTCCATCCCCCTGCATTGTAATTAGAGTTAGAAAGGGAGAGGACAAAGGAAGAAAAAAAGAGAGAAGTTTTACATCTATTTAGATGTTACACACACACACACAAGCCCCTGAGTGGTCAAGTAGCGAGGAGCTACAGGAACAGTGGGGCGCGGTTCTAGTTCTTTCCGGGGGCGTTCGTTGTCCGTTTCGATCGATCCTGTCGAGCCATATCGTCAATTTCACTGCGGTGCTGATCCTTTTATTTCTGATTAACATCTTGGATTTCCTTGAGACCATCTTGAGACGCCAAGAAAGCTGAACTTGATCGATTGGCCTTGCTTGGACACCGGAGATTGATTTCAGTCCAAGTACCCATCGCAAAACTGTTTTTGTCTTTTTGTGGCTGCAAAAAAAGCAATCCCAATAGGAGGGCAGAAGGGTGTTGTTTTTGTTTTCTTCTTTCTTGGGCTTCTAAAAAAAACAAATCCAATAGGATGGCGCAAAGGTTGTGTTTTTTTGTTTTTGTGGTGCATCCAAAAAAACAATAGAAGGGCACAAGGGTTGTGTTTTTGTTTTTTGGGGGGCTTCCAAAAAAAAAAATGCACTAGGAGGGCACAAGGGTTGTGTTTTTTCGTTTTTGGTGCTTCCAGAAAAAACTATAGGAGGGCACAGGGGTTGTGTTTTTCCTTTTTTGATGCTTCAAAAAAACAAGTCCAATAGGAGGGCACAAGGGTCGTGTTTTTGTTTTTTTTGGGGTGGGCTTCCAAAAAAAACAAATCCAATAGGAGGGCACAAGGGTTGTGCTTTTTGCTTTTGTGGTGCTTCCACACAAAAAAAAAGTCCAATAGGAGGGCACAAGGGTTATGGTTTTGCTTTTTTTGGGGCTGCAAAAAAACAAACCCAATAGGAGGGCACAAGGGTTGTGTTTCTGCTTTTTTGGTGCTGTCAGAAAAAACAAATCCAATAGGAGGGCACAAGGGTTGTATTTTTGGTTTTTGTGGGGCTTCCAAAAAAAAAACAAATCCAATACGAGGGCAGAGATTGAAGGGAACGTTTGCTTGAGAGAAACAAACAGAGCACATGCCGGCGGTTCACATCCGGTTCCTCCCTCCGGTTCGTCCGGTTCGGGAGCTTATTTTATACATTAGCGGTTCGGTTCGGTTCGGTTTCCCAACTGCCGGTTTCTGGGCGGTTTCCGGTTCGCGCGGTTCGGTTCCCGGTTCGCAGTTCGGTTCGCGAACCTTCCTGAAAACAGAACAGGGGTCGGCTCCCTATCAACGTTCCCTGGCCGGTGGATAACAGAGCGCAGAACAACATTACAGTGGATTTTTTGGTGCCTTGTTGTTTATATTTCAATTGCAGCGTCCATCTCTGACCACCCACACTGTGGGGTTGGCCCCCATTGTTTACTGACTGGCCAGGGTGGTTCAGAGGACGATTCAAATCTGGTGGACATTTGATCTTTTGATTGGAGTACAACCTCAACGATCAATACCCTTCACTGCAGGTGTCAAGGACCACAACAGCCAGCCTGTTTGAACTCTATTCAGCATAATTTCCATCCAGTTCCTTGCAGACGGACGTCAGACATCCTCTACATACCAGCAACTTGGAGTTGGGAATCCTTCGAACAGAGTTTTGCCACTTACACCTTGGTGAATTACGCTCCAATCTCAATTGCTACTCATTTTTTGGATCGGCACAAAAACAGCCCAGCTATTGAAGAACATTACGGCCACCCTTGGTGCTGCTCAACCATTGACGGGATACAAGGCGTATACAGTGTTCTGACGTCAGTCCTGACGACATCCCATTGTGACCTTCTGACTCTTGTCAAGTGCAGCCATCCATCCAGCGGCCTATTGAGCACCAGAGAGAACCCGTAATCCACCTTAAGCCAGAAGTACCCATAGTCCTAGATTTAACCCACTAATCCTGCACCTAGACCCTAACTAACCACTTACCCGGTCCCAAGTCCGGGCGTGCAGTAATCTCCATCTAGTATATTCAGATTGACCATAAGAAAACTACTAATGACCGAAACTACACTGCACGGGGGTGAGGGTTGTGGGTTCCTGCCGTGGGAACCCACGGAAGCCGAGTTCACACCAGAACAATTGGCTACCCTGATGACGGCGAAAATACACGGCCAACCGCCACCCATGGGCTACGGCCCGCCGAAATATCCATCCAATATGTGTGACATGACTACAATCCAAAAAAGAAGCTTCAAAAGAGCATTTGCAAGAGCCCAAAGAGATGGGGCTGCCTGGTATCGAGGCATGTGCATGACCCCAAGTGACTTCCCGGCCCATATGCCATTGCCGAAGCATCCACGCCCCAGCAGACCTGCTGGTGTACCGATTCCTCCCCCATCTAAAGTTTCCACTACCCATAGACTCAATGTTGTCCAGTTTAATGTTGGTGGACTCCCCACTCATAAATTAGAAGAAATTAAAACATGGGGAACATCTATTAATTTAATGCTGACATCATCGTCTTGTTGGAAACAAGGTGGAGTTTTTCGTCTGAGTGGACTGACGAGGCCTGGCATGCCATCCATTCTGGATCAGTTGCAGATCGCGCCGATGGCGTACTTGTACTAATCAGGCAAGGAGTTGCCCAGGCATCCCAAATAGGCAGTGCAACCCTGATTGCTGGACGCCTCTTGCACATTCGATTGCACTTCCGCCAACGAGCTTGTGATCTGATCTGCTGTTATAACTATATGGATGACAGGACAACAGCCAGATTGCATCAGCGTGCATCTTTCTGGCAGATGCTGGATACTTGCCTAGGTACGATTCCAAATCGAAACTCCTTACTGATTGCAGGGGATCTGAACTGCTCTGCAGAGCAAGATGGATCACATGTCGGGACCAGTACATTCACATGGCATGGCCACCCCTGTAAGGGCCCACAACATAGGGATATGAAATCATTCCACTCAGTTCTAAAGAAGTATCATCTCACCATCCTCAATGGATGGAATGCACAACATGGTCCCACATTTCATAATGGCTTGATGGTCTCACGTATTGATTTTTTCATCACTAGGACGGCTGGTGCTGATGGATTCTCACGCGATGTTAAGTACCTCACCCATGCGGATATTATTCCCCTCAAAGGTGCCACTCATATCCCCCTGATGTGTTGCATCCGCAGGTTTCATTTTTCATACAAATCCAGACAGTCCACAGGGTTCACGTATCAACAAAGGATGCGCTGCAGACTGGACTGGCAAGGAGGAAGTGACACCTGGGCGTCCATGATGGAGCAGACTGGCAGTGCCCTACAAGAAATCTGTGCCAATTCTGACTCCAATGGGGATCCGGTACAACATTTCCATGACCAGATGGGGCAGAAATTTCATCACTTCTATCCTAAGAATGTGAAAGTTCCCCATGC